GATCGAAAAATGTAAAAATAAAGTGAAAACCTTACCCTAACCCCCCCCCCAAATCTAACCCTAAACCTAACCGTTAACGTAACCCTTAACCTAACGCTAACCCTTAACCTAACGCTAAACGTAACCCTAACGCTCTAACCCTAACCCTAACCCTTACCTTTATGTGAATCGGCTTGCTTTAATTTTAATTTTATTTCAATTTTTAATTTTTTTCGTCGCGCTGTGATGACGTCAAATGCGCGCTTTCGTCGAGCGCGATTTTGTCCTCCGCGGTTTTGTGGTGGAACCGTCTCCCATGAATGGCAGCAGGTTTTCTGGATTCAGCCTGTGAATTTCCTGGTCTAGACAGATCTGCCACTAAGCGAAATAGTAGTACTTCCTAGGACACTCTTGTGAAAAGGTTGCTTGCAGTAGAAATGTGATGCTAGATTTTGGTTGAAGACTTGGCTTCCTTCTCATTCAAATGAGATAAATATCTTGGTGGTTGGAACATTAACATTTATCTCTGAGCTGTAGAGGATATGCTTTTCCTTGTAAGGTTTATCTTCAATATAAATTTGTTTGTATCTCATATTAGTTCATCATTACAAATTAGTTATTCAACTACAAAATATTAAGAGGGATCAGGATGAGGATATAAACATCCCACTAGAATAGGAGATAACAAAGGCATACAATGTTTACTCCTACACTTAAAGCTTCTGTGTACTCTTGGAACATGAAAAAATAGTTTTATTCCGATATAACTCCCATTACATTGCAGCTATCCCTTGGCTGTTATTCAGTTATTTTTTTATATAGTGTTTAAGAAGTAAGCTTGATAGTACCAAAGATAAATAAAACAATTCCAGTAACCAAGGGCTATTGATTCACCCATAATTAATGTGTAAACAAGCACATTCTTAATTCTAAACATGAGTGGTTTCAAGACCGTAAAAAAATTGTGCAGTGCTTATCCATACATTCACATAATATAATCTTGATTTTGGTATATTTTATACACTTCATAACGTTGTTGAAATAATGATCTCTTCTATTTCTGTTATCTCTGTGAGACTAGATCCTTGCTGTATGTAAACCTGACTTCAGCTAATTATAATGTTAGAGCTATTAAAACAGCTGTAGAACATCATGCCACTAAATATAATCTCAAAACATAGACTGCAAGGAAAGACACAAACTAGATCTCTTACTCATTTAAAGATCAAAATGCCTATGTCAAAGTAAAGTTACACTCATGAAATATTTATCCCAAATTGTAAGTGTATTTCAAACAAAAGAGTAAACCCTGATGACTGCTCTGCAATTAAATTGGGGAGCGGGGGGGGCGGAGGGGGGGAGAAGGACCCAGAAGAAATTATAGTTCAGAGATACCATTCATAAAATGAGTTTCAGGTTTAATTTATAAAAACAAAGAGACCTGATTTCAAGCTGTAGCAGAAAGGTAATTAGTAATGGTAATGCACAGTGATTTAGAAAAAGATAATTGTAAAACAAATTGCTTTGAAAATAATTTTTTCATCTTAAAGTAAAATGTAGAGGTTATGAAGCAGGTTTCCTCACCTGAGTATAAATCTAGGAAGACAAGAATAAAGGCAGAAGGCAAGGGAATAATCTGGATATGGTTCAAAACTGAGGGACATTTTTAGCGTAGTTTAATGTTTTAAATAAGCCTACTAATATTCATAAAAATAATGCTTTCCCCTTTTCCCTTTCTTGAACCTCCTTTTTAAACAACAACAACAACAACAACAACAACGACCAGAATGAATTTGGAGGTCTGCTGGAGATAAACTGTCTAAAGTTGGATTTGGTTTTTAAAATAAGAAACCATAGGAATTTTTTCTTTCAGCTTTCTGTAACCATCTGTACTACATCTCACACAGTTCTGGAACATCTCCCTATTTCCAGGAAGTACAGATTTATTTGTCAATGTCTTTAAGTTAATATCAATAAATACAAATCTAGTATATTTTAAGGATTTTTTTTTGCCACCATATATATCACTACCGTGTTTCCCCGAAAATACGACATGTCCTGATAATAAGGCCACGCCACATTTTTATGGTGGGCAAAAATATAAGCTCTCCCCCACAAATAAGCCCCCTAGATTACCCCCCACCTCTGGCCAGGCAGAGCGCCGCTCACCAACCTCACGGTATCCCAAAGATGCCAAGCTGCGAGAACCGGAAGGGAGGCAAAGGTGATCGTGTTGCTTGGCAACTTTGGGATATCGCTAGGTTGGTGAGCAGTGCTGTGCCCAGCTGAAGAGGGGGATTGCCAGGCAGCTGCTCTCTTGCGAGTGGGCTTCCAAAGAGCTGGGCATAGCCTCATAGGCGAATGGCTGTGTTGCGCTGTCGCATCAGCGCAACACAACAGCCATGAAGCAACCACGCTCACGAGCAGCCACCTTGCAAACCCCCTTTGCAGCTGGGCACAGCGCCATTCACTGACCTAGGGGTATCTCCAAGCCTGTTTGTTGCCAAGCTCCTGTGGCTTGGCGCCTTCAAAATGCCAGTGAAAGGCGCTCTGCATGGCTGGAGAGGGAGGTTGCTTGAGCGGCTGTTCCGCTCCTGCTCGCGCACTTCCCAGCCTCATGATGCCCTGGCCCAGCTCTCCCCGCAGAGCCACCGCCATACCAGCATGGCTTTTTCGGTGGCTTCGAGTCTTCCGGTAGTGGCTGCTCTAGGCGTACACTCTATGGTTGTGGGCCAGCTGCCGGCAGAGCGTACAATCATAGAGCTGCCAAAAAAGCCTGGCGGCGGCAACACAAATACCCTGGCTCTGCAGGAAGAGGTGGGCCAAAGCATTGTGAGGCTGGGAGGCATGTGAGCAAGAGCGGAACAGCCGCTCGTGCAACCCTCCTCTCCAGCCGTGCAGAGCGCCATTCACTGGCATTTCGAAGGTGCCAAGCTGCGGGAGGCGGACGGCGGCGAACAGGCACTCACGTGGCTTAGCGAGACCCCTAGGTCAGTGAATGGCGCTGTGCCTGGCTGGAAACGGGGTTTGCTGGGTGGCTGCTCGTGAGCGTGGTCGCTTCATGGCTGTTGTGTTGCGCTGCTGCGACAGCGCAACACAGCCATCACTCATTAGGCTGTGCCCGGCCCTTTGGGAGCTTGCTCGCAAGAGAACAACCACCCGGAAACCCCAAAACAATAAACTCTCCCCTCATAATAAGGCCCAAGCCATATTTTGTGGGTAAAAAGAAAATAAGACCCTGTCTTATTTTCAGGAAACAAGGTATATCTTCAAAAAACATACTTCAGCTTTGATGACTGTTTACAATTTTCCACCCTCATTAGTTTAGCAGGATCTAACCCAACTCCTACTCCCAAGTCAAGATCATTTACACCAATAATTTAAAAAGCAACAACACCAATATAAATTCTGAATACTTTTTTCCTTCTCTTCATTTCATAATAGCTCATTTTTCCTACACTTTGCTTTTGTTTAACAAATTAGCCATACAAAGGCAAGTACTCTATGACTGCAAAGTTTATTCAAACCAAGGACATTCAAGAGTCTTTGTTGGCGGAAGAGAGCTGACATTGCGATGGCACGATGTACGATCTTGGTGCTCCGAGATTGCAGTCGAATTTCTGCCGCTGGATGGTCCATTCGGACCTAAACCATCCTGCAGAGACGGTGATTGAGAAGGGCACCTCCTGCTGATCTCAGGGACACCACCTTTGTTTCCGTCGACAGAAACACAGC